AGTATTTGCCTTATGTATTGAGGTGCTCCTATGTTGGGTGCATAAATATTTACAATTGTTATATCTTCTTCTTGGATTGATCCCTTGATCATTATGTAGTGTCCTTCTTTGTCTCTTGTAATAGTCTTTGTTTTAAAGCCTATTTTATCTGATATGAGAATTGCTACTCCAGCTTTTTTTGATTTCCATTTGCATGGAATATCTTTTTCCATCCCCTCACTTCCAGGGTGTACATGTCCCTAGGTCTCAAGTGGGTCTCAAGTGGGTCTCTTGTAGACAGCATATATACGGGTCTTGTTTTTGTATCTATTCAGCCAGTTTATGTCTTTTGGTTGGAGCATTTAATCCATTTACATTTAAGGTAATTATCAATATGTATGTTCCTATTACCATTTTCTTAATTGTTTTGGGTTTATTATTGTAGGTCTTTTCCTTCTCTTGCGTTTGTTGTAAAGTTGATTTGGTGGTGCCGAATTCTCTTAGCTTTTGCTTGTCTGTAAAGGTTTCAATTTCTCCGTTAAATCTGAATGAGATCCTTGTTGGGTAGAGTAATCTTGGTTGTAGGTGTTTCTCCTCCATCACTTTAAATATGTCCTGCCACTCCCTTTTGGCTTGCAGAGTTTCTGCTGAAAGATCAGCTGTTAACCTTATGGGGATTCTCTTATGTGTTATTTGTTGTTTTTCCCTTGCTGCTTTAATATTTGTTCTTTGTATTTAATTTTTGATAGTTTGATTAATTTGTGTCTTGGCATGTTTCTCCTTGGATTTATCATGTATGGGACTCTCTGTGTTTCCTGGACTTGATTAACTATTTCCTTTCCCATATTAGAGAAGTTTTCAACTATAATCTCTTCAAATATTTTCTTTTTGAAAGAAATTTTCTTTTTCTCTTCTTTTTCTCTTCTTTTTCTGGGACCTTTCTTTTTCTCTTCTTTTTCTGGGACCCCTATAATTCGAATGTTGGTACATTTTATGTTGTCCCAGAGGTCTCTGAGACTGTCCTCAATCTTTTCATTCTTTTTTCTTTATTCTGCTCTGCAGTAGTCATCTCCACTATTTTATCTTCCAGGTCACTTATCTGTTCTTCTGCCTCAGTTATTCTGCTCTTGATCCCTTCTAGAGAATTTTTAATTTCATTTATTGTGTTGTTCATCATTGTTCATTTGCTCTTTAGTTCTTCTAGGTCCTTGTAAAACGTTTCTTGTATTTTCTCCATTCTATTTCCAAGATTTTGGATCATCTTTACTATCATTATTCTGAATTCTTTTTCAGGTAGACTGCCTATTTCCTCTTCATTTGTTAGGTCTCATGGGTTTTTGCGTTGCCTCTTCACCTGCTGTGTATTTCTCTGTCTTCTCATTTTCCTTAACTTACTGTGTTTGGGGTCTCCTTTTTGCAGGCTGCAGGTTCGTAGTTCCCGTTGCTTTTGGTGTCTGTCTCCAGTGGCTAAGGTTGGTTCAGTGGGTTGTGCAGACTTCCTGGTGGAGGGGAGTAGTGCCTGTGTTCTGGTGGATGAGGCTGGATCTTGTCTTTCTGCTGGTCAGGTCCACGTCTGATGGTGTGTTTTGGTGTGTCTGTGACCTTATTATGATTTTAGGCAGCCTGTCTGCTAATGGATGGAGTTGTGTTCCTTTCTTGCTAGGTGTTTGGCATAGGGTGTCCAGCAATGTAGTTTGCTTGTCATTGAATGGAGCTGGGTCTAGGCGTTGAGATGGAGCTCTCTGGGAGATTTTTACCATTTGATATTACATGGAGCTGGGAGGTCTCTTGTGGACCAGTGTCTTGAACTTGGCTCTCCCACTTTAGTCGCACCGCCCTGACACCTGGCTGGAGCACCAAGAGCGTGTCCTCCTCACGGCTCAGAATAAAAGGGAGAAAAGAAAGAAAGAAGAAGATAAAATAAAATAAAGTTATTAAAATAAAAAATAATTATTTCTTAACAAATTTTTTTAAAGTAATTAAAAAACCCAAAAAATAGACAGAACTCTAGGACAAATTGTAAAAGCAAAGCTATACAGACAAAATCACACACAGAAACATACACACTCACAAAAAGAGAAAAAGGCGAAAAAATATATATATCGTTGCTCCCAAAGTCCACCTCCTCAATTTGGGATGATTCGTTGTCTATTCAGGTATTCCACCGATGCAGGGTACATCAAGTTGATTGTGGAGATTTAATCCACTGCTCCTGAGGCTGCTGGGAGAGATTTCCCTTTCTCTTCTTTGTTTGCACAGCTCCTGGGTTTCAGCTTTGGATTTGGACCCGCTTCTGTGTGTAGGTCGCCTGAGGGTGTCTGTTCCCGCCCAGACAGGATGGGGTTAAAGGGGCAGCTGATTCTGGGGCTCTGGCTCACTCAGGCCTGGTGGAGGGAGGGGTATGGATGCAGGGTGAGACTTCGGCAGCAGAGGCCAGCGTTACGTTGCACCAGCCTGAGGCATGCTGTGGGTTCTCCCGGGGAAGTTGTCCCTGGATCACGGGACCCTTGCAGTGGCGGGCTGCACAGGCTCCCGGGAGGGGAGGCACGGACAGTGACCTGTGCTCACACACAGGCTTCTTGGTGGCGGCAGCAGCACCCTTAGCGTCCCATGCCCGTCTCTGGTGTCCGTGCTGATACCCGTGGCTTGCGCCCGTCTCTGGAGCTCCTTTGAGAGGCGCTCTTAACCCCCTCTCCACGCGCACCAGGAAACAAAGAGGCAAGTAAAAGTTTCTTGTCTCTTCGGCAGCTCCAGACCTTTTTCCGGACTCCCTCCCGGCTAGCTGTGGCGCACTAGCCCCTTCAGGCTGTGTTCACGCCGCCAACCCCAGTCCTCTCCCTGGGATCTGACCTCCGAAGCCTGAGCCTCAGCTCCCAGCCCCCGCTTGTCCCGGCAGGTGAGCAGACAGTCCTCTTGGGCTGGTGAGTGCCAGTCGGCACCGATCCTTTGTGCGGGAATCTCTCCGCTTTGCCTTCCGCACCCCTGTTCCTGTGCTCTCCTCCGTTAATCCGAAGCTTCCCCCTTCTGCCACCCGCAGTCTCCACCCGCGAAGGGGCTTGCTAGTGTGTGGAAACCTTTCCTCCTTCACGGCTCCCTCCCACTGGTGGGGGTCCCATCCCTATTCTTTTGTCTCTGTTTTTTCTTTTTTCTTTTGCCCTACCCAGGTGCGTGGGCAGTTTATTGCCTTTTGGGAGGTCTGATGTCTTCTGCCTGCGTTCAGTAGGTGTTCTGTAGGAGTTGTTCCACATGTAGATGTATTTCTGATGTATTTGTGGGGAGAAAGGTGATCTCTGTATCTTACTCTTCCACCATCTTGAAGCTCCTCCGGGAGGTAACCCCTGACAGCATTTTTGAGCAGCAGTAACAATGCTGCAACCACATAACTCTAGATTTTTTTGTGGTGAAATAACCCCAGTTTGTCTAAGCCATTGTCAATAGTGACATTTGTTACTTGTAGCTGAAAGCATCCCTAACTGATATAATGTGAAAACCATTTCTATTATCTGCCTAGACAATACTGGTGGATAGAATCCTAATGTCAATATCTTTAGGAATTGAAATCAAGTTTCATGTAGTCCAAGGAGACATATAAAAAAAAATTGATAGTTCCAGATTAGAGACCTGTTAGGCAGTGAAGACAATTCTTTTCTTGGATATCCTGCTACCTCAGGAGCACATATCAGAGACAAATTGTCTTAGGGCTATGTAAAGAATACATGTCAGAGATGCATGGGCTCGTGTTTTCATTGGGAACCAGAATAGCACCAGCCCTGAAGTCAAAAAGTACTAGGTTGGATCTGGCACCAACAATGACTGTTTCTAACAAAATTATCCATCTAATGAACGTGAAATGGAAGCATTTTTGGCTTTTGTTTCATATTATGAGTAATTATAGCACAGTAGTTAAAAAAGTAGACTAAGAGTTTAAATTGCCTGGGTTTTTACTCTATTACTTCCCAGCTATGAGTCCTTGGGTGAACCAACCTCTTTGTGCCCCTATTTCCTCACATGCAAATTGAGCAGAATAATAGTACCACTTCACAGGATTTTCACAAGGATTTAATGAAGTGGTGCATATAAATTCCTTAGAAGAATGCCTGATCCTCTATAAGTAGTGGGTCTACATAGAAGGCTGTTATGCTTAGCGTGGTGCCTGTCACATGAAAAATGCCTGGTAATGTGAGCTATTATTCTATTTAACTCATTCTCCCCAGATTTTCCATATAGTATTTTTGGAGGCCACAAATTAAAAAATTAAAAATCATGCCAAGGATATTTTATTGGAGTGCTTTCTTCTTGCTTTTTTGCATTAAGCTCAATTAATACTTTTATAGACTATTGCTCCTGCCCTGCCTTCATATAATCTATTTGTTCTTTTATAAGATATCTACAAAACAGTTTAGAGGGTACTCTGGATGTCATTCTACTTAAGACAATTCAGCCTGAACTGACTTTAGTATTGTCTCCTTGCCCAAGGGCTTAGCCACAGGTGCTCTGTGGGCAGCCAATAAATAGGACAGCCCTAGAACTTATTGTCCAAACTGGGAGATTTCTGATAGAGAAAGGGAGTGCTAATAATAAAAAAACTAAGACAATAGGAATGAACCTGGTTGTGTGGTCCCTAAATGACTCCCTCTGTTCGGGTAGAGTTGTTCCAGGGAATTTCCCCAAGCTCTGCCCACCCATACCATTACAGACCTTTTCATTAGCTTCCAGTGTTTGAATGACAGATTCATTTTGCCTGGGTTTAGGGAGCCTCAGAACAGGGGACCATGTGGGAAGAGGAAGAAGCTGAACTTCCTAATACCGTACCACAGGGAATGTCCTTCCTGGAAAGGGGCATAACAAACTGGCTAAAAATCCACATATTGTAATATTTTAATTTGCTTTGTAAGCTTTTCAGTGTCTTTTGTTTTAGCTCCACATATGTGAGGTCCTCTTGAACTTGTCCTTCAGTTTGAGCTGCTATAACAAGTACCACAGACTGGGTGGCTTAAACAATAAACATTATTTCTTACAATTCTGGAGTCTGGGAAGTCCAAGACCAAGGTAAATTCCACGTCTGGTGAGAATTGTCTTCCTGGTTTGCAAATGGCCATCTTCTTGTTCTCATTGTATTCTTACATGGCAGTGAAGAAAAGAGAGAGAGAAAAATTTCTTGTGTATCTTTTTAATAAAGGCACCAATTCCATTCATGAGGGCTCCATCCTCATGACCTAATCTCCTCCCAAAGACCCACATCTTCCTAATTCCATCACACTGTAAATTAGAATTTCAACCAAATTTGGGGGGTACACAACACTCAGCCTATACACTGACCTTATTCACTTCTTAATTATTTTGTGCAGAAATACCTTGTTCCAGTCAAATGTTTTATTTATTGTTATGCAAACATATTGCTTGCCATTTCTATCTCTAATCTTGTATACATCTGGTCTCTGTATGTAATACCCTCTCCCATATGAGAAGATATTATCATAAACTTACATATATATATATATAAAAAACAATTATAGAAATAATACATTGCTACTACTTGTCATCATAATCATATAACATGGCAACATAAAGACTCCCTCAAATGAACAAATTAGAATGAGTGTTTCATCTCCCATATTAAATCAATTCTATTATATAATTTCCTAAGCTTTCTTAGAAATTAGGTTTATGATCCTGTAAATGTAAAGAGGTAGGTTTTTTTTCTCCTTCCTCCTTATAGAAGATTACATTTCTGACATTTTTGATGTGGTCTTTATGTAGGAATTTATTACTTGGGAGGCAAAAATGAACATTAAACTATATGATTCATTGTTGCTATTGAAATAAGAGTAGGCAGGGATAAAAAGTAGTTTGTGTGACTCTTCCCCGTTAAGAGTATTCAGTATGATCTTATATACATACGTGTGGCCTGGGCTGTCCTCACCCCTTAACCTCTTCTTTTCGGCCTCACATCTATTCATATCAAACTAAAAACTGACTTACAATGGGCAGTAGAGCTCTCTGACGTTGCAGCCTCACACAGTGATGAAAATACAGTATATGATACTATTTAACAATTTTCTTAATGTGGAGAATGATTTTAAAATATGAAAAAGTTTTACCTTCTTCTTAATCTCTGGTTACTAGGATAAGCTGAAAACCCCTAGTTAAAAGTGCTTTTTACAGACAACTTACAGTATTACCAAAATACTCTGTATAATTTCTTCCAGACCTCTACTAAATGATTTAGTTAATAGTAATTTATCTAGTCAGGTTTCTAGGATTAAACTCCTTTCATTAACTGTTCCATTTCAAGTTTGTTCAAAACGTGATTGATGAGACGGTGATGAATTCTAGAAAACATTTTTTCTCTGTCTATTGAGATGACCATGCAGTTTTTCTTCTTTAATCTGTTAATGTGTTCAGTTACAATACTAGGTTTTCTAATTCCAACGAACCTTGTGTTCATGAAAGAGACATAATTTAGTCACAAGTATTTTTTTGAAGTCAGTTTGCTAATATTCCTATATCCAGGTTTATAAATGAGATTATCCCATAATTTTTTTTCCTTGTACTGTCCTTATGTTTTGTTTTGTTTTGTTTTTTAATGTTGGGGGTAGGAGTTTATTAATTAATTTATTTTTGCTGTGTTGGGTCTTCGTTTCTGTGGGAGGGCTTTCTCTAGTTGTGGCAAGCGGGGGCCACTCTTCATCGCGGTGCACGGGCCTCTCACTATCATGGCCTCTCTTGTTGTGGAGCACAGGGCTCGAGATGCGCAAGCTCAGTAGTTGTGGCTCACGGGCCTAGTTGCTCCGCGGTATGTGGGATCTTCCCGGACCAGGGCTCGAACCCATGTCCCCTGCATTAGCAGGCAGATTCTCAACCACTGCACCACCAGGGAAGCCCTGTCCTTATGTTTTTAAAAAAATTAATCACTCATTCTTCTCTAGGCATTTGAAATGGCTTAATGTCATAAAAGCCAGACTAGGACTACAACTTTATCTTCTAACTATATAACATTTCAGAAACTGTCCGTAGACTTAGAATTCCAAGTGTTATAAGGGATGATTGCAATTCGTGATTATATTGCTATTAATTAATAAGGAAGGGCTTCCCTGGTGGCTCAGTGGTTGAGAGTCCGCCTGCTGGGAGGCGGCGGAGTGTTCCTCCCTCTGCTCTATTTTGGGAGAGTTTGTGAAAGATAGGCATTAGCTCTTCTCTAAATGTTTCATGAAATTCACCTGTGAAGCCATCTGGTCCTGGGCTTTTGTTTGTTAGAAGATTTTTTTTGTTTGCAGTACACGGGCCTCTCACTGTTGTGGCCTCTCCCGTTGCGGAGCACAGGCTCCAGATGCTCAGGCTCAGCGGCCATGGCTCATGGGCCCAGTCACTCCGCAGCATGTGGGATCTTCCCTCACTGGGGCACGAACCGGTGTCCCCTGCATTGGCAGGTGGACTGACAACCACTGTGCCACCAGGGAAGCCCTGTTGGAAGATTTTTAATCAGAGTTTCAGTGCTTGTGATTGGTCTGTTTATATGTTTGATTTCTTCCTGATTCAAGCTCAGAAGTTTGTGCTTTTCTAAGAATTTGTCCATTTCTTCCAGGTTGTTCATTTTATTGGCATGTAGTTGCTTGTAGTAATCTCTCATGATTCGTTGTATTTCTGCAGTGTCAGTTTTTACTTCTCCATTTTCATTTCTAATTCTGTTGATTTGAGTCTTCTCCCTTTTTTCTTGATGAGTCTGGCTAATGGTTTATCAGTTTTATCTTCTCAAAGAACCAGCTTTGGACTTCCCTGGTGGTGCAGTGTTTGAGAGTCCGCCTGCCAATGCAGGGGACACGGGTTCGTGTCCCGGTCCGAGAAGATCCCACATGCCGCGGAGCAGCTGGGACTGTGAGCCATGGCCGCTGAGCCTGCACGTTCAGAGCCTGTGGTCCGCAACGGAGAGGCCACAACAGTGAGAGGCCCGCGTACTGTAAAAAAAAAAAAAAAAAAAAGAACCAGCTTTTAGTTTTAATGATCTTTGCTATCGTTTCCTTTATTTCTTTTTTCATTTATTTCTGATCTGATCTTTATTTTTTCTTCCTTCTGCTAACTTTGGGGATTTTTGTCCTTTCTTCTCTATTTGCTTTAGGTGTAATGTTTGGCTGTTTATTTGAGATGTTTCTTGTTTCTTGAGGTAGGATAGTATTAATATAAACTTCCCTCTTAGAACTGCTTTTGCTGTATTCCATAGGTTTTGGGCCATCGTGTTTTCATTATCATTTGTTTCTACGTATTTTTCGATTTCCTTTTTGGGTTCTTCAGTGATCTCTTTGTTATTAGTAGTGTATTGTTCAGCCTCCGTGTATTTGTATTTTTTACAGTTTTTTTTTCCTGTAATTGGTATCTAGTCTTATAGCGTTGTCGTCAGAAAAGGTACTTGATATGATTTCAATTTTCTTAAATTTGCCAAGGCTAGATTTGTGACCAAGATATGATATCTCCTGGAGAATGTTCCATGAGCACTTGAGAAGAAAGTGTCTTCTGTTGTTTTTGGATGGAATGTCCTATAAATATCAATTAAGTCCATCTTGTTTAATGTATCATTTAAAACTTGTGTTTCCTTATTTATTTTCATTTTGGATGATCTGTCCCTTGGTGAAAGTGGGGAGTTAAAGTCTCCTACTATGATTGTGTTACTGTCAATTTCCCCTTTTATGGCTGTCAGCATTTGCCTTATGTATTGAGGTATCTAATGCATCTTCTTCTTGGATTGATCCCTTGATCATTATGTAATTAGTGTCCTTCTTTGTCTCCTGTAATAGTGTTTATTTTAAAGTTTATTTTGTCTGATATGAGAATTGCTACTCCAGCTTTCTTTTGATTTCCATTTGCATGGAATATCTTTTTCCATCCCCTCACTTTCAGTCTGTATGTGTCCCTAGGTCTGAAGTGGGTTTCTTGTAGACAGCATATATACGGGTCTTGTTTTTGTATCCATTCAGCCAGTCCATGTCTTTTGGCTGGAGCATTTAATCCATTTACATTTAAGGTAATTATCAATATGTATGTTCCTACTACCATTTTCTCAATTGTTTTGTGTTTGTTATTGTAGGTGTTTTCCTTCTCTTGTGTTTCCTGCCTGCAGAATTTCCTTTAGCATTTGTTGTAAAGCTGATTTGGTGGTGCTGAATTCTCTTAGCTTTTGCTTGTCTGTAAAGCTTTTAATGTCTCCGTCAAATCTTAATAAGATCCTTGCTGTGTAGAGTAATCTTTTTTTTTTTTTTTTTTTGCGGTACACGGGCCTCTCACTGTTGCGGCCTCTCCCGCTGCGGAGCACAGGCTCCGGACACGCAGGCTCAGCGGCCATGGCTTACGGTTCTAGCTACTCCACGGCATGTGGGATCCTCCTGGACCGGGGCACGAACCCGTGTCCCCTGCATCGGCAGGCGGACTCTTAACCACTGTGCCACCAGGGAAGCCCTTGTAGAGTAATCTTGGCTGTAGGTTTTTCCATTTCATCACTTTAAATATGTCTTGCCACTCCCTTATGGCTTGCAGAGTTTCTGCTGAAAGATCAGCTGTTAACCTTATGGGGAGTCCCTTGGATGTTATTTGTTGCTTTTCCCTTTTCAATATTTTTTCTTTTGATAGTTTGATTAATATGTGTCTTGGTGTGTTTCTCCTTGGATTTATCCTGTGTGGGACGCTCTATGCTTCCTGGACTTCATTGACTATTTCCTTTTCCATATTAGAGAAGTTTTCAACTATAATCTCTTCAAATATTTTCTCAGTCCTTTTCTTTTTCTGGGACCCCTATAATTTGAATGTTGGTGTGTTTAATATTGTCCCAGAGGTCTCTGATACTGTCCGCAATCTTTTCATTCTTTTTTCTTTATTCTGCTCTGCCGTAGTCATCTCCACTATTTTATCTTCCAGGTCACTTATCTGTTCTTCTGCCTCAGTTATTCTGCTATTGATCCCTTCTAGAGAAATTTTAACTTCATTTATTGTGTTGTTCATCATTGTTTGCTCTTTAGTTGTTCTAGGTCCTTGTTAAACGTTTCTTGTATTTTCTCTATTCTATTTCCAGGATTTTGGGTCATGTTTACTATCCTTACTCTGAATTCTTTTTCAGGTAGACTACCTATTTCC